TTCAATTCAAACCCATACTTGTGTACACAGTGTATCCAGAATTATATTTTAGATCAGTTTTAAATACATATTTGAACTTAATTATTTTGAAACAAAAAATATATAAATATTATTCAGATTTTTTTACTTTAGTAGCCACACCAAAACATATATATATCAGAGTGCAAATATGTTTGATAGTTTCAAAGAAATCACTACTTTCTCATTATGCTATAATATTCTCAGAAATTGTTTTTTTTATTTTGCGGTCATTCAAAAGCTTCCAATAACCAAAATATAGTTTCGTTTTTTTTTTAAACTTCAGCTGTTTTTCAGTTAAGTTTGTTGAAAATTCCAGAAAATAACCATTAGTTTTCTATACCAGGAATACCAAATAAAAAATGCATGTGGTAGAAATTGAAATTAGTTTGGAAAAGAGGTATTGAATATTACTATTAACTTGTCCTTGACTGAATTATGTGAATGCGCGTTGTAAGCGAAATGAAAAAATAATACAAGAAAAAATACACAAAGCACGTATGGCCTTTAAAAGAATGTTTTCGTATATATAACTCTATTATTATTTTTACTATTATTAGTATTTTAATACGCAGAAAAAATAATGATTTTAAAATTGAAATAAATATATTGAAAAAAAAACTGCCGCTTTTGTCCATTGATTGCGCACTTAATGCTTTTACTTTACATTGTATTGTTACAATTTACTGCATGCTTGTTGTTGTTTTTTGTTAGCTTTGTTACATACATTTTAAAATAAAAATTTTATTATTTATTCATATTACTTACATTTATACATATGTTAGCAGGTATGCATGTACGTGTATGTGGAAGAGACAAAAATGGTATTATTAAAAGCGGAAATTTAATTTTTTCTTGCGGAAATTAAAATTGTGTCATATTTCAATACGGCAACAATCAATGTGTGGAAAATACATAAATACGCACAGCTAGTAAATATTTATTTACATATTGTATATGTATTTTTTTCTATTTTTATATTATATATGACATGACATGAACGTATGGACACACCATGGCGCATACGCAACATTTTTCGAAAAGCATTTGTGCAAGTGTTTTGTGTGTGTATGCACACATATGTTATGTTTGCTTATGCGGTTGTGCCTTGTTACATAGTTACAAATTAAAAAGAATATTGACTGCACATGCACATCCAGCCTTTCTTACTTATTTGGTAAGCAGTAAAAAAGTACGATTAAGCTATTGGCTTGCGTCCTTGGCAAATAAAATAAAATATGTATGTAATATGGTTATATAAACACATATATCTGCCATTGTAAAACTCATATTGTGATTGCTTTTTTTGCGTTTTTCTCTCACTTACTTTGAGACCTTAAATTAAATAAATAAATGAACGGGGAGAGCAAATCGGTTTTGCAATATATGTTCGTAAAATTAAAACAAAAAAGAAACACAATTGAAAAATAATAAAAATTGAGTGGAATTCCTTGGGCATGAAAATAAAAAAAAATTGTTTCACTCATTCACAAAATCAAAATAAAAAATTAAAAAAAAAATAATGAAAACATTTAGTGCAACTTTTCTAATTTTTGATATAAACAAATATTAAAAATATTAAAAAGTGGGTGGAATTCTCTGCGCATGAAAATTAAAAAAAAATTTTGCTCCTCTCATAAAATTGAAATAAAATCTTAAAAACATGAATATAAAAAGTTAGAGTTACAAACGTGTGCAGTAAACTGTAAATTCTAGTTTTAGTGAAGATTAAAAATTATACAATTACTGTTTTCGACAACACAAATATAACTTTGATCGAATTTGACAATTTGACACACTATAGTTACTGAATTATCCTGATTTATGTGGTATGCGAGCATGAACTATTTCCAATATTACTCATTTCATACCTTTTTTCATAATTTTGTTAATTTTTTTTTAATTTTTTCATTGCTAAAGATGCACTTGTAAATATTTTTTCAGTTATTTTGATTACTCTATACAAAATTGCTTAAGTAAAACCAAGTTTTAGAGCATGTGTGATAAGTAACCCACAATATAAAATTGGGTCTGTAAGGTGTACGAAATTCAGTAGAAATTGGAGCAGTAAAGGTTAACTACATTTTTTGAGTTTTATGTTTGAAACTTACGCCTCTCGATTGTTCAAAAACGGGGAAATTTAATTATTATTCACTGGAAATGGTTGAAAGTGATACATCTTTTAAGTATTTTTCATAAATAAGCTTAAATATTTAAGACAGCCAGCAGAGATTTAGACAATCGTATGTTACTTATATAGATAAAATAAATTTTGAGAAGCGAAAGATATTTTCATGATTTGGGTATACTAAAAACCACATATTGCTAAAGAAAAGTATAATAAAAAAAATTAAATAAATAAAATATAAAGCAATGCTGCGACCTGCATCGATTCACTTTAATTAGAAATTCACAAGATTTTCTTATAATATTTCTTTATATTATTAAATCGTATTGGGCTACTTGAAGCTCATCTGCTTGACCTGAAATTTCCCGCATATTTTGTTGTCCGCCAGCTTCTTATATACCAACATATTATTATTTATTCAAATATTTAAGAAGCTAAGTGCATTTTCAAATACTCTCATTCCACCTGAATGGCAGGCTCTTTCTCCCTCTGGTTGTTGTTGTAGTGCCACAACCAGCTCCACCGATAGAATACAGCAACTATTTTGCGAACACTACTCAACGACACTGCACTCCACTCCACTACATTTTAATGCTACAGCAATTACCACATACATACATACATATCTGAAAACATATAACAGACCATATGCATGCACGTACAATATGTAAGTACGAGTGTATAGTGCAAACAAGCAGCCAATTGCAGTTATTTAACAAGTATAACAGCAAAAATTGGCATTTTATTGGTTTCCACTATGCATCGTGTCCTCTCGCATTGCCATGTGTAGGTGAAGAGTCAACGAGTCGGGAGTAGAGCGAGTGGTGTGTGTATGTGTATATGTGTACATAACCACAAACGACTGCGGAAATCGTAAAGGAGCTTTAGTCTGTATTTACCCTTATACATATAACTACTCGCATATACTATATGTAACCATGTTTATTAATGTATGTTTGTAACGCAACGATTTTGAAATGAACGTCGTACATTGATTGCTGGCATTTATGAGCAGTTAAAATGGGTCAACAGAGGTGTTTGACTTCTAATGGCTTATTGGTATATACAGTTATATATACACGTATATATAGTGAGGTTATAAAAATATCGTATTTTCCACTTTTAACAAAATTATATAAATTGTATTTAATTGAAGTGGACGTTGAGTATCGCTTTGGCTGATGCTGAAATGTGCCTTTTGTTGGCTTTTAAATATGTTAAAGTAATACTAGAAATTGTTGCAATGTAAACATAAAATTCTACATTGAAACTCACATCCATTTTTCCTTGACTGTGATTGGGAATTCTCGCTCATGGCAAACTATTACTCTCACATTTTTTAAAGTGAAAAGAAGACTTCCGGATCTTCTGTTAATTTTAATTTTAATTTAATTTTATTTATTCAAAAAGTTTAATCATTTGTTCATAAACCACGGATCTCAGATTGGGAGAAGATGTCTGTCTGAAAAAAATAAATATACTCGTATGTTTATATAGGAGGGCAGTATGTAGCATTTCGCTTAGTACAGGAATACTACATCGACATTAAAAAAAACCATTCCAGGAGATAGAAATATTATCTTTGTACGAAATTTTATTTTGCGTGAAAATAGAGCACTGGTGTAGAAATGACTTTCAAGGTTTTATAACTTTTTTGCGATGCGATTTGATCGATAGTAAAAAGAGATTATTTAGCTTACATAATTTTGTGTTCCATAAAAAATAAAACATATCGGTTATTTTGTGTCACGAAAATTTGGGATTTTTTAGTGACATTTGGGAACTCGTCAATTTCTTGAAACCATAATTTTTGTTGTATATTTTATTCCACAAGTTTTTAAGTTAAAAAAATTTTTCGGCTTCGCGTACGTTTCAAATTTAATAAACATTATTTTCATCTTTTATATATGAATAACAAAAATTTTGACAATGAAAAATGGCAGCGTTGCCAATTTTTCATCCGAAGTTGATGACTCAAAGTCCCAACGAAAATTGGCAACGTTGACATTTTCCAGTTAACTAGCGAATAATCAACGATCAATACTTTATAACAGAAGGTAGTCATTGAAATATTTCGTTCGGAGTTAAATCCCTTCAGATAATTGTCATAGAATGAAAATTGGCAGCATTGATTTTATGTTAAACTGTACAATTTCGTCTTGCTTAACTTCCAACAAAATCTCACAACAATTCTAAATTCACATTCCTTCAGATAATTTTCGTACAATTTGAGTGATTTTTTATTAAATTGCGAATTTTGCTCTTGCTAATTTTACAACAACTCCTAGAGCCAAAATATTTTATTCAAGGCTGAGGAGTTTCACATTCCTTCCGATAATCATTTAACAATTTGTATGAGTTTATGGCAATGAAAAGTGGCAATACTGTTAAATTTACGTTGTTCCGCAATTTGTTGAGTTCTTTATTTTAAAAATAAACTTAATTTTGTAATCTTAAGTTCGCGTGCTTTTGTACGTAACAAAGGGGCAGAAACTGCTGATTACAATTTTGAGTTTTATTTCAAACTCTGCGTGTTAAAATTGGCAGCGTTGCAATTTTCACAAATTTAGCTGTGGGACTCTTAAGCTTGAAACTGGAAACAACCAGTTTTGCTCGTTTTTTTCTGGAATTCTATGCGAGGTTTGGTGAGAAAAAATGGCAACGTTGTAATTTTTTATTTGCTTTCTTTATGAAATCGACTATCTGAGGCCAAATAACCAAATTTCTCATGTTCAAAATCAAATTTCTTTAAATATTTTTATCTACTTATTTTATTGTATAAAGTAATTTTTTACTTAAGCTTTTCCACTACTAATTTTTTCTGCTTACTTATCCCACAAATGCTTACTTACAGGATTTTCTACAGCCGCTAATAAACCTTTGGAAAACTTCACACAAAATGGCTTTCCAACGTAGCTACAGCAAGGTCTGGTGGGGCTCCGATAATCAACAATTATCCTCTGCACTAGCCCTATCCGCAGCGGCCGGCGGTGCGACTGCCAATAACGACGGCACTAGTTTTACAAGTGGCGGTTTCTACTACGGTTCTTATTTTGCACAAAAGACACAGCAACAACTGAATGCGCAACGTTTACAATGCAATAATCATGGAAGCGGCGGCTACCATTCACTCGATTCAGGCAGCTTTCGTTCGTACGTGGGTAATTTGTCGCGCATACAGGAAGTAGATGATGAGCAAAACAACTCGAAGTTGTCGTGGGGCAAACGCGACAGTCCGGGTAGTCTGCGTAGTCAGGTAAGCGAAATTACACAGCAAAGGCATACATACATATGTTTTGTGGTCGGCAATTTGGTCGTCTATTGCATTGTTTGCTACTGGCGCTTACACAAGTTTTGTGCGATTATACCTAATCAACATACATTTTGCAGGATTCCGGCTTCTCCGACAATGATGAGTCGCATAGTGGTCGCAGTCTTGGCGGCCGCTCCTTGAAACCCTCTTCACCCAGCGCCCAAAACGCAGCCAGTTCACCCAGCTCAGTGCACTCGGCGGCTGTGGCAACACCGCCCACTGTTATCAGAAGAGTAGGCAAATCGGAATTCTATTCACCGTTAGTGAATGTATCGCGTCGCATATCATTTTCCGGTTCACCTGCCACGGCGACTACATTAGATGCTGCCATCGCTGCGACGCAAGGCGAAACGACACAATTGCAGCAACGCTTGACTGCTGACGAACTGCTCGTCAGTGAGGCAGTGAGCGCTGCGAAGAAATTGAATTTTGATGATGCCAATGCATGCGGTGGACTAGCCGTTGCGGCACCACAGCAAGCACCGCAGCAAGCGCAGCAACAACAGCAACCGAAACGTCGACGACGCATAATACGTCAAGCCACAAAACCATTATCGCCCACCAAACGGCGTACACTGCTCGAAGATACAGACCCAGATAGCGAAGGAGAGCGCAATGAGGGTACTAATTTAAGCACCAGCAGCCCATTTGATGAGCTTGATCGTTCGGCGGAACATAATCGCTCACGTACTCGTTTACATATTGCACCCGAATACAACAATGAAACTGTCTATCTTGGTGTGACGACCGCAACTCCACCAACGGCTGTGCCGTACAACAATGAGACGATGGTGCTGGGCGCCGGCGGTGTAATCACGTGTGCCACACAAGAAGATACAAACAACAACACAATGAAAATGAATGAGATGGACATGGATAATTCAATGACGCCACTGAAGAACAGTTATTTGCCCAGTACGAGCACACCGAAAGCAACAGTACAAGCCAGCGTACAACCATGGCTGCAAATGTCCTTCCGCCACGTCACGTATGAATATGATAATCCGCTGTTGAATGGTCATGCGTCCGATTTGCAACACTGGCTACATGATTTACGTGCATCATATGAGCACGAGGTGATGTCCACGCTACAGACCAAGTCCATAGCACAGGAAGCTTTCAAGAATTTGACAATTACAACGAATACCGTCGCCAAATTAATACGTCAGCTGCAACAGCGCGCGCTCAATATGCAAACAGACTTCGAGCGTGTGGAACGTATATTGTCGGGCACGCAAGAGGCGACACTACATGAAGCGCTTGCAAGCGCCGAACAGTTGGTAGCGAACGTGGCCGACTTCACACAGGTGCTCGAACGACGCGCTGTCTTCTTCAACGATTCGCGCCTGGATCGTAAGCGTTTTGAGGAGAACATGGCGCAGATACGCATTATAACAAAGGATACACGATACTCACTCGAACGCCAACACTACATCAATCTGGAGTCGCTGCTTGACGATGTGCAGGTGTTGAAACGCAATCTGCTGATCTGTGTGCGCCAATTGTTCGAGAAGATGGTGCGTATTATCGTACAAAGCGTGGAGCAGGGTCAATGTGATCTCATGTTGCGTGCCAACATCAATATGATAGCAACGCTGATGAATATCGATTACGAAGGTTTCGCCTCACTCACCGACGCTTTTGTACAGAATGAAGCTGTGCGCGCTCTATTAATTGTCTGTCTCGAAAATAAGCTTTCGTCAGTGCGCGCGTTAGCTTTGCGGGCGCTTGCAACGGTTTGCTGTACACCGGCTGCAATTGCACAACTGGGCGCTTGTGGTGGCATTGAAATTGTACGTGATATCATACAAGTGCCGGGTAAAGAACGCGCTGGCGAATTCAAACGTGGCGATATTGAGCGCCGTGAAGCCGTCTCATTGCTCACACAAATTACAGCCGCGTGGCATGGTGCCGAGCACCGTGTGGATGGTTTGAAGGCTTGCGCGGAACTCATTGTCGAGGGATTGACTCAGTTGATAACGAATACGGCTTGCCCGCAAACATTGTTGCTATGCGCGGCGGCCTTGAACAATCTCAGTCGTATTGAGGTGACGTCACATTATTCGATAATGTCCAACGAGGCCATTTTCAAATTGATCGAAGTGGTGCAGGTGCGCGGCGAAGAGACGTCCATATTTCTTTATGTAAGTATGGAGAGTTGTTTTTATATTAAACTAAGCGCACGTGTGAGAGAGATCAACTAGGTCAGTACTGAATTGATGGATAGCAGCAGATTAAAAAATCGGAGATGTTTGGGTCCCATTGTGAAATGATAGATAGGAGGCATGCTGCGAGTAGCTCCAGGTGGTAGGGGTGGTTACCCAGAAGGGGTAAGGATGCTGAATTCGCTGCCGTAGAGGTTTGGGGCGCATTTGAGCCTGAGGGTTGGGTTCAACGCCAGCCTGGATAAGAAAGGATTCGAGCAGTCCCACTACAAACTGCGATTCCGTTCGGCTATAGACTAATGTTTCCTGATAACTTAAACGGGAGCGGATATAATCCTGGTCGACGCCGCGGCGTTGAACCGGCAGATTTTGCACTTTTATGTGCCATTAGAGTCATTTTATTTGGAAGCAACTTCACTCCGAAAACTCAAACCTTATTCTTTTAATACTGTATTTCTGCTACGATTTCGTGTCGTAGAATTGAAAATAAAATTCCCTCTCTTTGTCGCTCACATCCACTTTCCACATTTGGGGCGTAAATAGTGACGTCATATAACACCCAATTCAGCTGGGCTTGTCACCATATATTATGTGCAGGAAATAAATAAAATAAAATCGTAAAAAAATACAAATACACGAAATCAATTTATTTCACTTTTTCTTCGACTCTGCACAAGTTCGTCAGCCGTTAAACTGGCCGAGAACGTGTATATATGTATATAATTGCATATATACACGTACATACGAGTAAATGACACTGCCAGGATGTATGAGGATATGAATGTATATAAGAAGTGTAAAGGAAGTAGGCCGATAAAAAATAGACAAAATCCGAATGAGCAATGACAAGCGAATGCGGAAGAAAAATAACAACAACAACAACAACAACAAATAGCGAATCTAAGAAAAGTCCGAGCCAAATAAGGCAACTACGTAGGGACATTGAACTGATGAATGTGGTATTGAGCCGTTTGTGAAATGCTATTGAATACGAAAGCTGGTTATATATTTATATTTATATATGCACATTGGTATGTAGCTTGAGTATATAAATCACTCAGTCAGTCGCTACTAAAAATGCAATTTCTAATTTTATTGAAAGCTTTTCAAATAACATTTCCTCAAATGGCATATTAAAGTGAATGCTCGGCACAACCACACCAAAATAGCGATAGTGAGAGAGAGAGAAAGAAAGAGTGAGCGAGTGAGTGAGAGAGATGCTATGCACTACTCGTTGGGCGCGTGTAAAGATTCAAAATGACAAAATGGCTAAGCTTTGCGCCTAAATGTTCGAAGCTTTTTGACGACTGCTCAGCGGCGTTGTCTGTCCGATTGGCAAGTGTGCTGCTTGGACAAAAGGATGTGATGGGGTAGTAGACGCTCGTAAAATTTATTTGCACATTTGTAAAGCAATTTTTCTTAGATTTACTTTTTGTTTTCGTATCTTTTTTTGCATTTAAATGGATTTTTCATTTTGCTTTCGGAGACACAGCGTGATATTTCACTTTTCTCGTTTGGGTTTCATGAGCGTTTTAAGACTTCTGCTGGGCGATTGAAGTTGTAAGAGAGTTGCATACTCTTACATCTTTGTAAATACATATTTATGTTTGCCACACTATACACATGCAAATTTCAACTTAACTTATTATTTTCTTCTTCTCTTTTTTCCTTCCTCTTCTCCTTCTTCTCCTTTATCTTGCTGCAGGAGCAAATCGTTGCAATGTTACACAATATGTCTGTGAACAAGAAGTGCCACAGTCACTTGGCTAATGGCAACATCATAAATTTCATCACGTCCGCATATCAAACGGAATTCTATAAAAACTACAAATCTCGCGCGGAAAGTGATGCACAACGACGCACCATCAAAGCGATTCTACATACGTTGACACATTTGGTACACGAGTCCACTCTGGGCATTGAACTGTTGGAACAGCATCGCGTTCCCGCCTTTTTCCGGCAAGCGATGTTTATTGGTGGCACCGGCGCAGGCAGTGGTGGTGAACAGTGGTATTTAGACGGCAGTCACGGCAGGGAGATTTCTTCAATGTTGGCCGGTCAATTACTGCAGGCTCAGAAGCAAGAACCAGTTGCCGCTGTAGACGAATCGAAGAGACAGCAAGTTTTCCGGGCAGCAGTTGGGGAAATAGAAAATGATGCTGTGCAGCAGGGTACTGCTAATGGCAGAGGTAGCAGCAGAGCCAATAACAACGCTAACGTCAGTGTTAAAGGAAACTTTAAATTCAATTTGACGCGACAGGAGAGTTTCGTTTGAGTAAATGCATTTGTGTGTGTTGCAATTATATGTATGTAGTGTACATAAATATATGTTGTGCTTTGAAGCGCTTTGGGCTGTGCTCCCAGCGACGTTGTTGGCAGCTCGATTGGTCAGTCGGTGACTGCATTTAATGTAAACAAACACACACACAGCACCAACTACGTCATGCGACTGCCAGGGAGTAAACCAAAAAAGTAAAAAATAAATAAATAAAAAATAAAATAAACTAAAGAAATATTTCAGCTAGTAGAGATGTTTGAAATTTTCAGAAAAATAAAAAAAATATTTTTTTTAAGTTTTTGCACTTTTTTACTGTGTAAAAATGTCAACAAAAACTGTTCTTTATTTAAAAAAAAAATACTAAAAATAAAAAATTATAAACATATATTATTTATATATTAAAATAATTTCTTTTATTTTTGGTATTTAATTGTAAATATATTAAATTCAAAATTTGTTTAAAATTACACTTTTGCATTATATTGTATATAATTTAAAAAGATATATAAACATAAGCATATATATTAAATTTTAAAAATTAATTTTTAAGTCAACAGTTTTTTCTTTTATATTTGATTTTTAATTATTATATATGTTTTTTATCTATTACGTTTTGACAACATTTGTACAATAATTAAATTTAATTAAATTAATTTTAATAACAAATTAGGCATTTCATTATTGATGAAATTGCAGCAAAATAATTTAGTCAGTTATGTGCCAAAAAGATTTCGTTTTTATTAATTTAAAGACGTATTTTGTTGCTGTTAACAATAATTATTAAGCATATATATGTACATACCTACCTATGCATGCATATTTATACTTCTTTGGTATGTTTTTTTTCGTATGCAGGCAATTTTTTTTATCTACTTCTTGGTTTTAAATCATAAAATTGTCATGGCATAATTTGTGTTTTAAAGAAAAAAAGTAAATAAATATGTGTGTACGTAAGTGAAATAACTATGTACATATGTATGTATGCAAAAATGTTTATATAATGAATAATTAATTCATAATTAATACTGATAGAAGTACCTAGAGTTAAGAATTGATTATTTTTTTTTTACTTAACTTCAGAATTAAAAAAATAAAAATTAAATTAAAAATACAAAAAGATAAATTAATATTTTATTTATTGCTGTTGTTTCTTTATTTCGTTCTTTCACAAATTTTAGTGCTAATAAATCACAGAAATGCATATTTTTAATTTTAGATGGCCGAGTTGTTGTTTTGTGTTATAGATGTCGGTTTGGTAAAGCGTGGTGTGCATATCCATTACATATATTAACTGGAAAAGTCAGGCAATTAATTGCAGAAAGTATAGGGTTAACCATTTCGTGACACCGTGCTGTATATTGACATCTGTCAGACTCTACTGTCATACCAATGCCATGCTTTGTTTTAGTGAAAAGTCAGACATTTCTGAAAATAGATCGCTTAGCAACCGTACCAGGCGTCAAAAACTACAAAAATAGTGACTTAAACGTAGCCACGATTCGCAATGCTGTTGTTTCGCACGAAATTTCCCTCAGCAGCGAGACTCATTTCTCACTCGTTAATAAGAAAAAGTTTCGCACTTGGTGCCTCAAAAAAAAAAAAAAAAAAATCTTACGGTCTGTGCGCTCTTTGCTTCGTAGGTGTGATTGGATTTTACTTCTTTGAAAACGACAACGACGAGACTATCACTGTGAACTCAGAGCGTTATGGTCGTATGTGATATGATTTTTTTTTGTGAGATATACTTTCTGCTCTTCGTGTTGGCCATGCAAATAAGCCACCGAGATTTTGCGATTCGAGACCGTTGGACCCTATGGTTGTGGTGCTATGTAAAATATTGTATTTTTGCGGATAAACCTTTAAGCCTTAAGCAATTAAAATCAACATATGCCTAGTTATGGCTGAGATACTGCCGAAAATTCGCAAGATAGTCACCTGGATGACTCCAATGACCAAACTTTATAATAAAAAAGGAATTTCATGCAAAATGATTTTAAATGCAAAAGATTTAAAATAAAAGATATTGCGAATTTCGATCACCTCGACTATAAAGTAGGCTCCTGAGTTTAAACGATATATTTGAAATATGCAACCGATAGTTTTCTCGATCGTCGTGATAGGTTGGATGGCGTAAGTTTAGCATTTTTGCCGAGATGGTTGGTGGTGTAATCAGTGTCATACAAGGTATGAGCCACTGGTGTTTAAAAAATAAGTGATTAATTTATTTTTCAGAGATTTTCAGTACCCGATTCATTTGAATTTGTACGTATAACGGTAAATCCAAAACAATAAAAAGAAAAAAATGAAAAAAGATGAACAAACAAAAAATAATTACAATAATAATCAACAACGCATAACTTATTTTTGATTACAAAGGAAGCGCTGAGAAAATCAGTAATTTTTAATGTCCACATCAAAACGAAATCGAAAAATATCTAACTCCATTGATATGATAATTTTTATTTCTGAACGAACGAACATAATTTTTAAGGTACAGGTTTTTACTTTTATAAAACTTATGGCATACAATGAACTGCTGAGGTAATGTAGGTGGAGACCCCCGAAAAAACCAGAGATGAGTGGTGGAAAGCCAAGAGTCCAGTATCCAGTGCCCAGTGTGCGGCAGAGAAAGGCATAACAGCGATCTATTCAAATAATTTACATAAATATTTACTCGTTTTTGAACTTTTTAAAAACACATTAATGTTAACGTCTGCTTTTATCTATATTTAGCAATGTGTGTATGGCTTTTAAAAAGTCTAAACAAATTAAAAAGTCATGTAACAGCAGAGAATATAAAAATATACCAAAAAAAAAATGAAATAAAAAAAAAATAAATCAGTTAAAAGTCTATTTGCCAATGTTAAACTTTTCATTCCCCCAAGCTCTTTAATTTTTCAAGTTTTTGTACAAAGCGAAAGCAAAAAACATTTAAATGTCATTAGGCTAGCGACGGCTGGTAGAACACAAAACACATTTTAACTACTTTCTTATTTTTGCTTCATAAACCAAAACATGATTTCCCTTGCATAAGCTGTCACATTCGTTTTACTACGCCTCTCCTGTCACTCCCCTACCCCACTGACATTTCATTAATCATGCAGCGTGCCCATATGCCGTATTCATTAATTTCCACTGCACGATGGTCTTGACTTTCGGTAATTGTAATTCTTGACATCAATTCGCCATGACCACCTGTGGTCCGCGCACACTGGGTGAGAAAACTTCAAAAGGTCCATTTCAAAACAGAAAGAGGAAACTGTTTTGGAGAAAGGAACAACAAATACTAAATACAAAATTATAAACTAACTTAAAATATGTACGTACGAGGACAACATTTGAGTAGCGAATATCGGAAAAATAATAAAATAAAGTAAAGGAAAATGAAATAAAAAAAAATAAAATTAAATAACCTAACAAAAAATAACAAAAAACCAAATATATTAAATTAAATTAAAATGAAACTAAATAAATAAAATAAAATAAATAAAAATATAAAAAATTTAATAAAATAATAAAAAATAAAATAAAATTAAATAATATACTACAAAATATAATAAAATTAAATTATATTAAAATAAAATAACATAAAATAAAAAAATGAAATGAAATAAAATAAACTAAAAAGTAAATTTAAATAAAAAACCACAAAATAAAGTTAAGTAATTTAAAAAAATAAATTAAATAATATAGAACTCAATAACATTAAATACAAAAATAATATATGATAAAATAAAAAAAATAAATAAATTAAATAAAATAAAATAAAATAAAATAAAATAAAATAAAATAAAATAAAATAAAATAAAATAAAATAAAATAAAATAAAATAAAATAAAATAAAATAAAATAAAATAAAATAAAATAAAATAAAATAAAATAAAATAAAGGTAAGTAAAAAAAAAGAATTAAATAAAATAAAGTGAAAAAAATTAAATTTACATAAAATAAAATAGAATAAAGTAAAATAAAGATACACAATAAAGTTAGATAAAAAAATAAGAGGTTTTTTTAAAAAAAAACAATATTAAGAAATAGAGAATAATAGAAAAATTTAACAACTAAAAAATACTAATATAAATGATATGAAATGAAAAAAGAAATGAAATACAAATTATTTCCAATGTTTGGCATTAAAGTGACGATAAAGTTATAAAAATGAGAAATATACTTTTAAAACCGCTCTCGTAGATTAGTTTTTGTTTGTTTGGCAATATATTTATATACATACATTGTACATATGAACATATTTATAGAAATATACAAAGATATACATTTGTATGTATTTAATTCATCTCATATGTGAAATTCAAATAAAATCATTTCTTGACTACTAACATAAGTTTGTTGCGTACTGTGAGTACTCCTACTAACCTACATACCGCATACAAATTCCCAAGAACCTTTTTGGTCACTCAGAGCCCAGCAGGTCGACCATACTTCGTTTGACCACCACGGGAGAGGGATTTTGTGTGCGGCCTTTCATTTTTGTTCATTGTGCGCGTGTCACGTCTGTCATTGCCACCACCAACAGCAGCATCAGCACAGCTGTGACACATTAACGTGGCGGACGAATTATTTGTACAAACAAACATGCGAACATAGTAGAGTAGTATGTTGTTTGACCTTCGCACTGCGCACGATATATACCAAATGAAGACACGATGGTGTGGGTACGGATGTGCAACACTCTGTGCCTGTGTGTGGCCTTATTTGAATTTTCAGAGTGAAAAACAATTGTTTGCGGCACAAATAAAGCAAAATAAAGTAAGATATTTTAGTGAATTGACTTTTTTTATTTTTTGAATAAATTTAGATTTGTAGTGTAATTTTTATAAAATCCCAAGTTTTGTGAAAATCGAAGAATTTCAAAATATTTTACATATGTACATATGAACGTAGGGGTGCAAACTAATTGGGGCCCTTCTCAATGCTAATCAGCTTCTATTTCTGACAACGACATTGTGTTTTGCTAATTTGAAAATTTCAAAGTTTTTTTAATATGGGGTCGAAGATCTGACAAAGTGAATGCATCAATTTCTTTGCAGAATATGGTCTTATGAAATCATTGCTCGACGATTAGAGTCCATATGTGCTTTGCCATATCCAAAACCGTCAACAAATTGATTGTGCCTTATCAGTGTTACTTTAGATCTGGACCTAATAAATCTGTCTTTGACCAGAAATTCACCAT